ATCCACCTGTCTTTGCCTCCTGAGTGCTGGGATTAAAGGTGTGCACCACCACGCCTGGCATAAATGAATCTTTTAAACTAAAAAAGAAACAAATATCAGGCATAAACTCTATATAGAAAGTTTAACTTTGAACTCCTGACCTTCCTGACTCCACCTCAGGCCTGCTGGAATGAGAGGCATGCACCACCGCACCCAGCTTGCTGCATAGTTCTGTTGATTTGCCTGCTCCCTCACTTTTGGAAAGCCTGCTTATCTTTGAAGATCCAGCCTAATTGTCACCACTTCTGCGAAGCCACCTGCACCCAGCCCCAGAGTCCAGGCCAATATCCCCAGTGTCCCCACTCTGCCTTAAACTGTTTTCACCCAAATCAGTCAGGTGTACTCGCTCTTCACTCTGGTCTGTGGGCTTCCAGAAGAGACGGGCTATCTTATCTTAGAGAATGACTCCTGGAGAAGACTCAAGAAATGCCTACAGACTGTTGTAAAACTGTGTGTGTGTGTGTGTGTGTGTGTGTGTGTGTGTGTGTGTGTGTTTGTGTTCACATGTGTGCACACATGCACCTTAACCCACTGAGCCATCTCTGACTGTTCACTCTGTCTCTCCCTCCCTTTCTTTCTTGTATGTGTATGTGGGGGGGGGTACAGTGTGTGTGCAGGTGCTTGTGCGTACGGATGTGTATGAGTGTGGAGGTCAGAGGATAACTTCAGGTTCCACTTTTTGTTGAAGATAGGGTCTTGGCCTGAAACTTAGCCAAGTAGACCAGGCTTGGCAGCAAGTGCCTTTGCACGCTGAGCCATCTCATTGGCTCTTAGAGCTTCATTTTTCTGCCCCCATCCAACCATTGCTGGGATTACAAGCCCAGGCATCTGGGTTCTGGGAATAAAAGTAGGGCAAGCACTTTATCTACTGAGCTATCTCCCCACAGGGTCTCATGTGTCTGAGACTGGCTAGGAATTCAATAAGTAGCCAGGGGTGACTTTAAACTCCTTATTGCTCTTGCCTCCACTTCCTGAGTACTAAGATTACAGGCACACCCACCTCTTCCAAATTTTTTTAAATTTAATTAATTGGGGGGGGTCTTTTTGAGACTGGGTCTCCCTGTGGCCCCAGCTAGCCTGGACCTATGTAGACCAGGCTGCCCTCGAACTCACAGAGCTCCGCCTGCCTCTGCCTCCAGAGTGCTGGGACTAAAGGCGTGCAGCTCAATAAACATTTTTTTAAAATGTTGGGCAAGGTGGAAAATGCTTGTGATCTCAACCCTGGGAAAGTGAAGATAGGAGAATCCCTGGGGTGTACTGACCAGTCAGTCCACCTGAACGGGTGCACTCCAGGTTCAGTGACAGACTATGCCTCAACAAGTAAGATAAACAGAAATTGGGGAAGATGCTCAAAGTTGGGCTGCAGCCTCCACACACAGGTACACACATGTGTGCACACACCAAGAAAGGAAAGAAAAAGAGGAAGTGCCTCGTAAATGGCTGGACAGATGAGAGGAGGGGGTTCAAGTACATACAGTCTCTTTCACTCATGTTTATATTTTTTGGTGCTCAGGATCAAACCCAGTGCCTCACACAGCCTACGTAGTCACTCTGCAACTGAGCTATAGCCTCAGTCCCTCATGTGTCCTTTTGAGACCTGGAGCATACTACCAACCACACAGATGCTGAAGAGGCAGAAAGTAGACAGAAAGAAGACGCACAGGGCAAGAAGGGTTATAGGCAAGAGGACAGAGGTTGCTCTCTTGAGTAAACTGGGCCCTAAGACAGAGGTCTCACCTGAGTGTCCAGCTCCACGCTGTCCACAGGCTGTGTGTTTTTCACAGAAGCATCTGCAAGTCAATACAAGGGGGTCATCTCCTGTCCAGAGTACCTGGGATTGCTCCATCCCCCAGACCCTTGACCCGTCCCATATGGGAGCAGAGAACCAGGGAGTGTGATGATGACCCTAGATCTATAGTGTTGGGTTCAGTCCCACCAAATGCTCATATCACACCCTCCCCTCCACCCCTGTGATCCCTCCCCAGAGCCCTCTCTTACACAGGACTTCTTCTTGGATGGCTGTGGCTGGGTTGGAGCTGGGGAGAAAATGGGGTGTCAGTTGACAGTGAGGGGCATCGGGTAGGTGGGATTCTAGGTTGGTGGACATAAGATACCTCTTCTGAGGACCTCTGTCCCTGGGCACTGGCTCTGCAGCTCCTGCAGGAAGTTGCAAGTCCAACTCTCTTTGACCTACTTGAGAGGAAGGAGTCTCAGCCAAGAGTTGGGAAGCCCCTCCCCCAGGCACCATCAGGGAAGGAAGGGAACATTACACTTGGTACAAATGTTGCAGGAGATGTAAACGATCACAGAACACCTAACATTTGCTCAGGGACTGAGATCACCTGTTTCTGATCTGAGATTCTGCAGAAGTGTTTCTAAGCTGACATGCACCAGTCTGGCTGGTTTCCCTGCAGCTGATGACCTGAGCTTCTACTTGCATGGCACGCAGGGAGCCCACCACCTCCTGGGCCCAGGTCACTCATACTCTACTCACCTGTTTTCCTGTGTCTGTTCTGATGCCTTCGTCTGAGGAGGAGGAGGAGCAGGAGGAGGAGGAGGAGCAGCAGGAGGAAGACCACTGAGACAGCAATTGGAACCTTCTGGTAACTTTTCAGACCTGGAGCACAGGTGACATCATGAATGAGGGATGCTGCTTTCTTCAGCACCTACTGTGTGTTAGGAAAAGCTGGGTCTTTGATGACCCCGCAGTCATCTAACACATGATGCCCCCCTTCCATGCAGACAGATGTCGTGTCTCAGGTCACAGAGCTGGAAGTGGTAGAGCTGGGGTTGATCTAAGAGAATCTGGCCTCCAGCCTTGACCGATCTGTCAGAGCTGAGCCCCACAAGCTGTAGCAAAGTAGCCTGAATTCCTGCCATGGCCCTGTGCCCTGTCCCTGCATAATGTCAGCATCATCATGACAGGAGTCCAGACTGACTGCAGGTGTGGGTTCTGGTCCCCTTCCTATCTCCTGACAGAGGTAGCAGTCTGTACAGAATGGAACCTACCAATCTGGGCAAGGCCTCTTTCCTTTATACCTGGAGGAACTGAGGCCTAAATAGAGGAGAACTTTGTCTAAGTCAGCATCTCCAGAAGAGGCTGGAGCAACCCTATAACTAACTCTGCACCCCCTGGAACCTTCCTACCAACAAAGTCCTTGCTTAGTACTCTTAGGGCTTGACTCCATGGGGATACAGATTTGGTTTTCAGGGTCTAACAGGGTAGGATGGGAAGGTGAGGTTGCTGGGCTCCCTGTTCACTACCTTACCCTAGCAGCTCCTCCCCCAGGCTGAGCCTCAGCCTCTCTCTCTCTCTCTCTCTCTCTCTCTCTCTCTCTCTCTCTCTCTCTCTGCCTGGATGTCCCCTTCTGGGGCCCAAGCTTTAAGTCTCTTATCACCTGGGAAGCCTGCTACATTCCTAGCTTGACTTCTAGGTTGTGGCCACAAGCTGACTGACATAGGGAACAGGATTTAGTTGGACTGAGAGTGACAAGCTGGGGCAGAGCAGACTCCCTAGGTAGAGGACACTACCCTGCACCAGCTGTTGGGGTGGGCCCTGAGGGTAGAGGACTGGGGACCACAGAGGATCTCAGGAAAGAGGCAAAAGAAAAGTGAGATGTGGGAGGCTCTATTTCGTCTCACTGATGTATTTCTGCCATGCAGCCTCCCCAGGACTCGCCTGTTGCTGACCTGGAACCTTCTAGATTCCAGTGAAGGAGTTGGACTGTGAATTACTTGAAGAAGCACTGTTAGCCTCTCTGCATTTCTGAGTGGTGAATCCTCACCAGACTGACTGCCACTAGGATCCATTCACTCCCATCTCAACCAAGATCCCTCCTAGGTGGAGGATCCTGATTCACCTCCTTCAGCTCACAGATGTCAGGTCACCTCACCTGAGACTACAAGCTCCACAGTGTCACTGGGGTGTGACAACAGGTAGGGGGATGAGCTTCGAGCACCATAGCACCTGTAGGTGCCCCCGAGGGCCAAGGTCACAGCACTCATGGAGAATTCTGCCTTATACAGTTGATCTTCAAACGTTGATCTTTGATGCAGATGTGGATGGGCCATCCCCTCTTTGTACAGAAGGAAAGTGTCTATTGGGATCTGTGACTGACACAGCAGGGTCACGTTCTCTCCTGAGGACACTGTGGGGCCTGGACGCACTGAGAGGGAGGGTGTGACAGGGAGCTGTCCTAGAGAGAGGATGG